TCCCAGGCATCCGAGCATGCAATTGTTGTTCAGTCCGCGGCCCCCAAGAGTTCCTGACCGCTCCCCCAGGGCCAGTTTTGCATCCGAAATCGAGGAAACACACCGGGGTTAAACAAAGTCATATCGCCATAGACTCTGGCGAAGGGTTATTGTTCTCGTTCGACACCAAATATCGGCTGTCCCCAGGGACAGGGTGGCGCCAGCCTCGGCCTCCGGCCAGCACCACTGGGGGGGCGAGGGGGAGCCAGCAGACGGCCTCCTACCTGCACATGCCGGCGACTGCTCGCGGTCGGCTGCATCTTGCTTTCGCGTGCGCTGCGCTCAGGCCTGCGGTTGCTCGCTCACGCTCGCACATGTGTACGGTGGCCATCTCACGCGTACGTGTGCTAGTGCCCAGGACACGCAAAATCGAATGTGGTTGCACCAGCGTGCACTTACTGAAGCTAAGAGCAACCTGCCTAATCTTTATGGGCATATATACATACATATAGATATGTATATATGCTCATGTAGGTGTGTGTGTGTGTGCGCACATGCGCTAACGCATGATCACCTGTGCTGACATTTCAGGGCGCTGGCTCGCGCCTCTTACTTCATGATTGGAACCGATGAAATCGCTCGGACGTGGCAACGGAAAGACGTATGCCTGCACCTGCTTGCGCGCACACTTGCTTTCAAGCGTACACCTGTTTTCGAGCCGCGCCCGACTGTGGCGACGAGATCTTCCAAGCAGCAAGAATCTCGAAACAACGGTGCAGCCCTGCCCCCGCTCCCAACTACACACAAAGAGTGAACCAAGCAAGAGTGTCAGTGACCCTTGTGGTGCGCGGCCTTAGAAGGCTGCGGGTGGTGTGGGGTGGGGGGATGAGGGGCGGATCCAAGCGCGCGTGCCAATGCTAGGGATACCCATGTGGGCCCGCATCAAAGGTCACTCTGGCGAAGGCTCACTCTTCCAGTGGAACCGACGATGCGATCTTTCCAATCCGCGGCCCCTTCAGGAGGTCCCGACGGATCCCCCAAAGCCAATTTTGTGCCCCCGGATCCACTTCTGATGATCCCCAGGGCCGAAGACGGCCCGTGGGTCCAAAAGAAAAAAAAAACTCAGCTGGATTTCGGAGGCGCACTAGCCCAGGTTGGTCAGCGCACACCCGGGTCAACCAGGGTCACGTCGCGAACCCAGGCCGGCCTCTCCGTAGCTCCCGAGCCCGGGCCCGCGGAGGGCGGAAAAGGGGAATCGGCCTCCTGTGGCTCCTGAGCTTGGGTCCTGGAAGAGATCAGCTGACCCCCGCTGGCGCTGACCGCCGTTACGTGAGCCCCGAACCGTAAGGAAGGAATAACGCTCGTGAAAGGCTTAACGACTTCTGCCGTCCTTCGACCCGCGCTGGAGCGGCCGCGAAGTGCTCGAACTCTCCCTGGAGATCTCTGGATTTACCTGGATTTACCAAGATTCATCTAGATTTACCTGGACTTACCTCGATTTAGCTGCATCTACCTGGGTTTATCTGGCTCGATTCTCACAGGTCGATTGGCGAAAAGTCGACAAGCCCTAAGGGAAACGCCCAGGAGCTGAAAAACCCAATCCCCTGGACGCCTGGGCCACGCGCAGCAGCCGATCCTCCCCCCTCCACTTCCTCCGCCCTCCCGGCGACGACGGCCAACCTCGGCCGCACCAGGAGTCTTCCGGAGCGAGCAGGCGCCTCTCTGGCAGGTTATGCCAGGCCGTCGTGGCTACACAGGTGACACCTTTTCACGCGCATGTGTCGCCCAATCGTACGGCTGGAACAAGGACACAATAACATCTAGCAAGAACATGAGACCCTCCGCGGGCCAAAGTACCCCAAACCATAAGGACGTCGAGGATGCCCTTCCGAGGTGTCCCCGACCTTCACTTCCGAGCCAACGTGCGTAAGTACGCATCTGGTTCAGCCCCCAGCCTAAAGCCTTCGGCTGGACAGCCTAAAGCCCAATCGTACTGGCTGACTTTTCCTTGATGCACACCTGGCTCCAGACGCTCCCCTGAAGCAGTGCAAACGACACGCGGTGGGGGGACACATCGACCTGCCATCGACCGTACACTGGGCATCGCTCGGACGTCCATGCCCTGTGCTCTTTTTGGCTTCGTGCGTGGCTTCTTCGCCAAATGATCGAGGATGCTCCTCCATGGTCCTCGCCGAGGAAAACATGCACACGTCCGAGCGATGCCGAGTGCATCGCCGCCAAATCGGCCGTATGCCCCGGAGAGCGAGCCCCCACGCTCCAGGGCGGGGGCCTGGCTACCGAGCTTGAGCGGGCGATCGGAGGTCCATGCGTTCCGCCATGGGCGCATCCCCCCCTCGCCATCGCTCGGACGTCCATTCCGTGTGCCTTTCTCGGTTTCGTGCGTGGTTTTTTCGCCAAGTGATCGAGGATGCTCCTCGATGGTCCTCGCCGAAGAAAAAATGCACACGTCCGAGCGATACCGAGCCCCTTCCTTTATGGCTCCCCCCCGCCCGCGCCCCGCCACGACGGTGGCAACCGCTGGCGGCGCTGCCGTTGGAGCCGGGAGGGGCATGCCTGGGGTGGCGGGCGGGCGGTGGAGAGAAGTTCGAGGATCGTTGTGCTGTTCTTCGCTCTTTCTGGGCCGCCTGGGAGCTTCTCGCCTCCACGGCTGGGTCCGCCTCGAAATTCTAGTCAGACCGCACTCTTGGAACAGTCGGGGATCGATCTTTGAGAGGTGAAGGGGGGGAGCAGGAGGCGGAGGAGGGGGAGTGAGCAGAGGGAGGAGAAGGGATGCTAAGGCTTAGATAAGGGCCAGGAAGAAGGGAGGAAGGGAGAAATGGAGGGGGCGAGATAGAAAAATGGAGAGACAGGGGAGAGAACGATAGAGAGAGAGAGATAGAGATACATAGAGAGAGAGAGAGAAAGATAGGGAGAGAGGGCAGATACAAGCACGAGGGGCTTGATGACTGTATTGGACCTAGTCTCGGAGCTGGTTCGAATGAAAATCTGGAATCGATTGGCAAGCAGCTAGAGAGGAGGGCGACCCTACTTCGGTTACAACCACCCCTGGCTCTGGAACAGAAGCTACCTCGCTTACAAGCAATACGTCGTAGCAAACTGGCTAAATTAAGCGTTGAGGATTCAACGCGCCATCGTGATGGGGACCAAATGAAACACCCGCCCATGGCAATGTAATCCCACCAGCTCTCTGGGCGTAGGTCGTTCAACGAACTAATGTCTTCTCTCTACCAAAACCCTCCTTCCCCTGCTCGGAGAAAAGGTTTGCCCTCCACTATTTCACAAAAGGAATACTACCCTCCTCTCTCTCCTGATGACGTCCGGAAGATGTTCGGACCCCCGCGCCTGGCCTTATTTTCAAGCTTCCGCTCGTTCCGAATCGTGCTCCCGCTGCAGCGCTGGCCGCATTTTCGCGCTTCCGCTCGTTCCGAATCGTGCTCCCGCTGCAGCGCTGGCCTTCCTTCCAAATGGGCCTCAAAATCTAAAACATGCCCCCCCCGACAACACCATCGGAAGTGATTCCACATTCGGTGTCGATTCGTTAATCTTTTAGGCCGCCGTCGTCGTCGTTGTCGCGTCCAGGAAGTATCAAGCAGGAGCTCCGTTTCTGCTTTGAGAAGGCGATATTGAAAGCAGAGCCAAGCCAGCGGGTGCTCTCTGTCAGCCCCGCCTTGTGTGGAGCTTTTCGGGGAGCCCAAGGAGCTAGGCATGGAGCCACGACTCCACACCGGCCCAGACCTCTCGAAGACGATCCACTTACCCTCCAAGGAACCTGGCGCCATGCCATGACATGCTGTGCGGTGTTGTGTTCTGCGCCGCTGTGTGATGCCATGCTTTGCGTTGCAGTGCTTTGTGATGCAATGCTTCACTGCGCAATGCGACGCCATGCTATGGCATGCTACGCTCTGCCGTGCTCTTCTACTCGATGCCATGCCGTGCTCTACCATGCATCGCGTACCCTGTCGCGATCACTGCCCTGCTCGACATCCGACTGTGCGAATAGGGAGGAGATCTATGCCATCGTAAAAGATAGGAGGGACGGGTAGGACGTCAGATATGACGCGGGCGCACCTAGCTCGCCCTACCCCCTCCCCTGGACCTGGAAGAGGGGGGGCCCAGGTGTCAGAGGGTGCTCTTTGGTCCGAGAGGGCTCAGAGAGGGCCTCCGCGAGGCCAAAATGGTCTCCAAGATGGGTTCAGACAGACACCTCAGGACGGCTCAGGATAGCCTCCGACGCACATCCGAGGGGCCTCAAGATGGCCCCAGGATGGTTTCCAGTGCCCGCCGAGCCCTCCGAGGGTTTCCCACAAGAGGCCAAAATGACTCCGAAACATAAGGAAAGTCAATGTTGTTTACCTTCTCGCTTTTTCGCTTCCGATGGGCTGTTGAAGCCTCAAGATGGCGACAGTACGGCCCAAGAGGGCCCCGAGACGCCATGTTTGAGCCTCCAAAGGGGGGGAACCGAATTCATAAACCCCTGTTTTTGAGCCATGGGGCCCTGGAGGCCTCCCAGACCCCCCCAATGAGCCCCAAGAGGGTCCCAAGACCCTCAACACGAGCCCCAAGAGGGCTCCAAGAGTGCGCAAAGAGGCTCCACGGGGACCCCAAGAGAGCCCCGAAGATGGCCTTAGTCGTCCTTGAAGAACCCCTCACAACAACAGAATTCCAAAGCCCGGCTTCTCATCCTCTCTGTCATCGTTTGGTCCTTTCCTCCTCCTTTTCTGCCTCCTGCCTCCTTCTCCTCCTCCTCCGCATCCTCCTCCTCCTCATCATCAGCAGCAGCATCACCCTCGTGCCGCATTCCTCCTCCTCCTCTTCTTCCCCCTCTTCTTCCTTTTCGTTTTCATTATTATCCTCCTCCTCCTGCTCCTCTTCCTCCCCGTCCTTCTGCTACCCCCAAGATGGGTCCAGGAGGTCGAACGTGGCTCAATATAACATCCGACAAACCTCCAAGAGGCCTCAAGACAGCCTCAAGAGAAGGCCCAAGGTAGCTGAGCATGGCTCAAGACAGTTCCGACAGCTACTAGCCAAACGTGGCTCAAGATAACATCAAATAGGCCTCAAGAAAACTTCCGATCGTGTCTGGATGGGCTGACAAGGATATGTTTTTTTCGGTCGGCGGCTCCGAGGCGGCGGACAGGGAGCGGAAGGCGTCGTCTGGGCCAGCAGGCTGACAGGGATACTTTTTTGGTTCGCGGCTCCAAGGAGAAACCCAGGGAGCGGGCACAACGTCCGGGGCGCGGTACGATGTAAATTGGCCGCAGTGGCGTATGCACATGCCAGGAACAAAATGCCCCTCATTGAAACGCAGACAGCGTCAGCGGGTGACCGGCACAGAGGTGCGGTAACTGGCGGTGGAACGGGGGGGAAAAGTCGCACTTGCGGCGCCAAGCTCCAGCCGACCCACAAACCTAGGAGAGGCCAGGACAAGCGAGAGGCGCAGTGCAGAACGAAGGTCCGAATGGCCATTGCCAAGCGAAGCCTGCATGCTAGGGCACAGTGCCGGGCAGACCGCGGCCACGGAAGGGGGGGAGAAAAGCGAGAGCAAGCGACAACCACAGGCACATTGCGGTACCATGAGAAACGATGGTGCGGCAAGAGAGGCCTGTCTCGTCAAGGCTCACTGTAGCTACAAGGTAGATGATCCGCGTCGAAGCCATTCAGTAGACGAACCACTGGTGGGCGTTCACGAGGTAGGCCACCTTCAGCCGAAGCCAGTGCGTGCACACCGTATCCGACTCTCGCAGTTCGGGGGCAAAACGATGTAAAGTACGGAAACGGGCTGTGCAGACTGCTCTGCAAGGGGAACGACCACAAACTGCAGAAGGCTGAACCACTCAAAGCAGGGCCGCTCCCAGAACGAGGCCATACATCGGGTGTCACCGAGTGTATGGATGACGGCAGCGCCCGACCCACCTTCTTGCCAGTAGCCAGTGCGTGCGCATCGTCTCCGACACAATCGTACGGGGGCGCAGCGATGCAAGGTATCGACGGGCTGGTGGCCAGGGCTGCGCTGGAGAGGCGACCGCGGGCTGCAAAGGCTGAACTATTCACTGCAGGGTCGCACTCTTCCGAAGGTGTGGCTGATCTGAGCGCCAACCGGTACGAAAACCACTGGTGTGCGCTCATGAGGCTGAGCCATCTCCAGCCGGTAGCCAGTGTATGCACATCGTACCCGGCTCACGCAGTTCGGGGGCGCAGCGATGTGAGTACTAACGAGGGTTGGTGGCCGGGGCGGCTTTATAGCTGCGCCGAGAAGTGCGACACGAACTTGGACCGCGGAAGGCTGAACCATTCGATGCGGGGCCGCAGACTTGACGAAGCCACAGCCACAGCCACAGCCACTTCCCACCTCCGCGCCACCTGAGCAGCAGCCAGATGTCACCGCTGCCAGGGCATACAGGTGGCTTTCAGCTGTCGAGCTGCAGGTATACTGGTCGCTGGCAGCGTGCTGTTAAACCACTGCTTCCTTGTAGTAGAAAGGTGGTTGGGCCAGCGACGAGGGTCCGAAACATCCTGGGCAGGTACCAAGGCGGGCGCTCATCAAGGGCCGAGGCAAACTTCCCAGCTGATTGGTGGGGGGCGCAGCCGGAAGCCGCAAAGCCATTGTGAATGAATGACAGGGATACGCGAAGCGTCAACAATTCAACACAACGCGAGGGAACTTAATCCGACGCTGGTTAGACCAATGCCGGCTAGTGGAAAGCGGTATATAAGGCAGTTTACCACCAGAGCGTCGCTTTTTGGCGGGCTCAGGCGACATTATCTGAACCACTCGTTCTCAATGGTTCATACCTGTGAACTTGGACCAGCGCTCCACCAGTAGGCCTTCGGCCCTACGGCTTAGGGGATGCAATCACGTGAGTTGCACATCGATACCATAGTATGAGCGAGCGCGTTTCACGGGCGCTTGCCTTGGGAACCTTCGGCGGCGCGTTTCGAACCGGGGGCTGGCCCCCCAACAAAAAAATCGGCGCCGCCGACCAGAACCAGGGGGGCTCCCCTCCTCTCTAACCCCCCTCCCTCCCGAACACCCCCCCCCTCCCCTCCCAAGGTGTGTGGGGGGTTCCAAACCCCCTCTACCCCCTGGCGCTGGCCGGCGCAGCGCCAACGCATCGACGACCCCGCGCCGGCGCTGGCGGCGGCCAGCAGCGCCGACGGCGGGGACGCAGCGACGATGACCAGAGAGGACCCAGAGGCCGCAGAGGGAGCACACAAATCGCCATATCGAGCCCTCGCATGCTCCTCAGACGCCCCCGAGACCCTTCTGACGAGACCTCAAGAGGCATCCATTAGAACTCTGACGCTTTGCCCAAACGCAGTGGCGGGAAGAGCCGAAGGCCACACCACCACCACCACCGCCACCACAGACCACCATACCAACACCATCACCGCCACCACCACAACCACTACAACCACCACAACCCACCATCACCACAACCACCACCATCACCACAAACCACCTCACCACCACCACCACCACCACCAAAAACGCCACCACCACCAGCACCACCACTACCCACCACAACCCACCACCACCACCACAAACCACCACA